CCTAAAGGAATTCCCTCAAGAAAAATAAATCGTAAACCTCAGGAAGGGGAATAACAATGGTAATGCAACTCTAGTCATGCTTTTCAAAATTAAGTCACCCTTGCCTCCAAGTTTGGCGTAATAATTTTCAATGAGTAGTTTGAGGCAAGAATATCATCAATTTCATTGTGTTATACATATTTGTGATTCCCTTCTCCCCAGCAGAAAAAATTCTGCAACTTGAAGATTGCTCAAGTCCCTTGTATGCAAGAGTATTTTGCCCACTGAGTCACTCATTTTTTAAAGCATAAAGTCACAATTTGATTGTTTTTTCCTGCCTCACTGGAAAACAGCCCAACGCCGCTCAAAATTTCATGTATGGAGGGTTTAAAAGGGAAAATCAGATGAGGAGTAAAAAGGGAAATTTGTCATTGTTATTACTGCATATGTACTATAGGCTTTTGAACTACAGTATACACCCCAGCAAAAATCCTAGCAAGCAATAGAGGGGTATTCCATGGTACAGTTCAATCCTATAAACATACCCATATGCATATACAACCCCCATTAATTGGTGTGTCCCCACATTTTGTTATGCGTACTGATGTATTGTCAAGTACAGTATATGAACAGCAATTCACATATGAGATCTTTACAGAATTACAGTACTGTACTGTATTTCATTTTTCCGTCCTAATAGTCCGTCTTCATCAAGATGATCTCTCATTGTAAATGCATATGGAGTGTAGTACAGTGTAAAAGGTTTTCCCATATACTGTACTACACATCTATATTATATGTGCATGGTTTGTTTCCAATTATTGCTGACATTACCAGCAGCAGGAGGGCATACACGCATGCATGCATGCACAGCTGGCCAGCAGGGAAAGGTCCAAAGTTTGCGCACCACGCTCCACAGCAGCAGCAGCAGCAGGGGGAGGGAAGGAGGGAGGGAAGGTGTCCTGCTGCACTCCTGCGCCGCATCAGGACACAAAGAAGGGCGATGCACTCTCCGGACAGCTCCTTCCTTCCTTCAGCGTCCACCGCCAGCAGTCAGCCGGCTGAGAGAGCTTCTCAACTTTCCTTCTCGGCAGTGTCAGCGACTTATTCCTTTCCGGCCGAAATCTCGGACCAGGTATTGATCTGGGAACCGAATTCGTCCCGGAGAATAGCCTATGAAGAGTTGGACTGCCGCATTCTTGCAAGACTCTGACTGGCATGTGTTCCTTGTACAGTACATTGGTTGAACCTCACCTTCAACCTCCACCCCCAAGTCCTTTTTTTTTTTTCAAGTCCCCACCTACATTTCCTTAGAAACAAGGCATTAAGCCCCTATCTTACTCCAAGTCTTTTCCTCTCTGACCTTCGTAACTGGAATTTTCTGAGGCCTTTTGGCTATTGCCTTACAGGTTAAGGAAAGAGAAGGCAATAATAGCAATGTAAGGATGTATTCTGGAAGGAAGTGAAAGATTATTTGGGCAAATGATCCTGTGCCTCCAAGCAAGTTCAGCATGCTGTCAACTTCATTTACAAATCAATTTAATGCCCTGAATATTACTGTGTACAATAATTCCCTGCAATTCTTCCATCTTTCCTGCAAAGTAAATGCTTGTTTCCCGAACTCTAAATGTTTTGCTGGTCCCATGGAGTTTGACTTAGAAAGGTTTCCTTATTGTATTCATACATTTTCTGTTGCCATGTGGGCCATATTATATAATAACAGGAATTTGTATACACAGTACAAGGAGGGAGAAAGAAACGACTTACTGAGAATAAAATGAAGACTTCTCAAAAAAGCTTTGCTGGGAGGTGCATGTAAATGGTTTATCTTCTTCCCGAATTACCTTACTTTGCTGATTTTGGATAACATGTGGAGAACAACAAAAGGATTTTCGAAAACCTTTCAGGTTTTCCATTGCATCAGGGTAATATTATATGTATTAGAACTTCAGGTGCAATAAGCCGGTTAGAAAATGACCTGTACTGTGGGTCTGAGTCAATTATTGTATACAGTTTTTCATCCATTGATCTCCGAAGACTTATCCGAGTGCACTGCACACTATCCCCAGCCCGTCCAAGGAAAAAGTTGAGGAGTGGATTTGAAAAATAAATCAAATAGGTAGCTCATGTTTGAACAGTGTTATACAGTGAGGTATGTATGATACACTTTGTCGCGCATGCTGTGTTAAAATGAGAATCCAACTGCACATATTTACAGGGCATTCCAGAAGTATGGTATGCACAGTTTATACGTAGAAGTCTTGGAAAGATTTCGAGGTGCGCATTTTGCAACATATACGTGAAATAAATGGGATAATTAACAAAGCATGTATATACAAGTTAATACAACCTATTTACAAACTTCAACTAAGTTTGACGAAGCCATTTTCCCCGCGAAGTCCCGCATTTAAATACAGTATTTGGGGATTATTGGTGTGTAGGAAATTTCATTTTTGAGGCATCCCTGTGAAATGCACAGTAATAACATGCTGGATTCATCAGAAAAAGGTCACAGCGTAGTCTATAAACACTGCCTCTGCAAGTTGAGGTACGAAATCAGTTAACTCAGCAGTTTCAGACATTTGAGAGACTTAATTAACTGAGATTTACGCATGAACTGTATATACGCCTGCTAAAAAAAAAGCTTCTCGAAAGAAATTGAATCAACTTGCATTATACGCGGCAGAAAAACCATCCAAGTTCGTATTTTTCCGTGGTTTTTGTGCTGTTCTTTTCATTGACTTGCGAAAATACTGCATCTTTACAATGAGTCATCGCATAGCGTTCATAACCATCACGTTTCCGAAGAACGACATCGGCGAACGGTGTTTTGACAACCGCACGCAGTGAAATGATACCATCATGATCAACTGCTGTATATCTCAGTGCCATATATTACATTGTACAGTGATGTACTGTACAGTTTGTACACACTGTTCTTTTCTTAAACTTATTGAAAAAGCCAGGAGCGTGATCACGGTATATTTTTAAAGCATTTATACCGGGAAAGCGGGGATGATGGTTCACATAATACTGTACTGTACTGTATGAGATATTGCACACGCTAAAAAGCCAGCAGCAGTGTTGCAATAAGCAAAACATTGATAATTTGAACGCGGGAACAGGACGCTTTTCACTGTGTAAGAATAACGAGTAGGTATAATTTCCTGGTCGTGATTAATCATGAAAAAAGGGAGAGAAATTCCGGCCCGCGGACATTCATGGGTGCGTCCCGCAGCTCGATGGTTCGCTTTTGCACTGGAGCATTAACGTCTCCCTCCCTGTTGCTAAGCCATTAAACTGTAGCTCCGATTTCCGAATGTAGCTTCGCCAGCGCTGCCGGCTGTTCGCGCCAGCCTCTCAATGCGTCTTGATGGGCGTCGAGAAAATCTCCGCTTTTCTCATATCACATGCTGCATAGGTTGACTTGACATGGAAGGATAGTTTGTCTCATTAGAACCAAGCAGGGCCTCCACCTCAACTTCAGCTTGATTATACTGTACCACTTTCAATGCTGTGTAAGACATGCATGATGGTGACCATGCTTGATATGCACTCTCTCACTGGAAACCAATTCATTCACTGTACTGTACAACCAATGAGTGCGCAATACTATACAACAGTAGTTTGCATATCACCTGTGCCTCGTCCATTTCCACCGCGCATACGCTTCACACTCCTTCTATCTATGCAATCGCTGAATTTTTTTTCAGAATATGTCAATAACATTTTTGTTCACGACTACCAAAATTATCAACTGAAGAACCGATCTACAGAAATTCAGCTTCAGATTTTAATTATGTGTAGGTAGTATTAAAGTATAGCATGTGGTACATCTGGGGTACACATAAAGCATCTTTATACCTATTGTGCATACTGCATAATATAATCGTTGCTTATTCCAAGGGGGGTTCTGTACTAAAACGTATCTTTTTGCATGAAATACTGTACCTAATGTTTTTGGTCTACTGTAGCTGTTGCAGATGGTACCTTGCAATTTGATGTCCCAAAATTTGATGGTCAAATTTGCAAGGTGGTTGATTTGCAATTCAACCCTTGCCCCAAAATGTGACCTGCTTTGGCCACTTTTTTGGCGTTTTTCTACTGATATTTTTGAATTTCACAGTGTCTCACAATTCTACTGCTTTGAAATTTGACCCTATTTTCATAACGGATCAGGGTCGAATTGCCAGGTACCACCTGTACCATGATTTTCTGCTGGTGAAATTCGAGCAACCAAAAGTGTAGCCTACCTGGGTGAAGTTATGCCTCCTTCTTTTCGCCCCCTCCCCTGGCTGCTGATCAAGCATGGCATGGAAGCATCGCGCTGTTTGCGGTACAGTTCGCGGTGCTCCGTTGAGCAGTCCGGACTGCATACTGCATGGAACTGGGTGCTGGCCCTTATAATGAATTGAACTCACGAGATAAATGAAATCATGACCCTGTTCCGTCGACTGGTTTGCCGTGAAATGCGCGGCGGTAATCGTTGTACAGTATCGAGAAATTTACGCGAGTTATCAGATCGCTGATTGCTGTGATAATCTTGCCGTGAAGAGATTTGGACCGGAAATTCGTGTTGGGAATGATGAATAGGGTCGTCGGTGTCAATAGGAGAGATGCTGGATAAGCATCTACGGACTCTCATCCCCGCATGCCCATCTTGTTTATTTTGGGCAATCCCGTATCATGGGTGAAGCAAGACGAAGTCGCCGCGCTGGGGGCTCGCCTGCTGAAATGTCATATGATCAGCGGTCAGGGAGTCCGCGAACAGAGCGAGCGCGGGCCGTTTTCCCAGTCTGCCTTGCAGCTGTCTCTCGCTTCCCGGGCGTTCGAGTAAGTACGAAACCTTGGAGTATTCCACAGCGAGAGAACGGGGCGGTCGGACGGGAACGATACCCGAATAACATTAACGACGTGTGCGTCTAGCTTTCGAAAGTTCGTGCGAGTCTTCGTCTTTCTGTTGAGATTTCTCGGCACCATTGCTGTCTTGTGCAGTTTTGTCCGTTATTGTGATTGTGTGCTCTTTTCTGGAAAGGAATCTGAGAGACTCTGCCGAGATTTTCGGTGGAAGTTGCAGAGCTGTGCCGTGCTTTTTCCCCCCCTAAATCTCTTCTCGTAACGTATCGTTTTTGCCGAATGAAGCGGAGTGTCTTTGATCAGTTACCGAGCTGTTCAATCCCTCCTTACCAATGGGTGAACATGCCTCGACGGAAGTGGAGTCTCTGTTCGAAGACCTGGTGGGCTCCAACGATGATGTGCGCGTGACGGAGGTCAAGAACATACTCCACGAGCTTCTGAACAACAGTCAGTAGAGACTTGACCGTATTCTGATCAATCCTTGTGTGTGTGTCGAATCTTAACTGAACTGAAGTTAATTTTTGCTGTCTGCATCGTATTCGTAGCTCGAGATGCTTGGGTTATGAATGGTCTGGTGGACTTCTGCTTCGCAACCAAGTCTTCACGATGCATGGACCTTATCTGTGATGTAGGGGAACCTCACGACAAACATCTCTTCGATAAGTAAGGATGCTGAAATTTACTTGCTGTTCGGAATCATGATGGTTTGTTCCATGCAGACTTGAAGCCTGTCTACGTGGTTCTTCAGCAGAACGCCAACCATGCTTGGATCTTTTGACGCACATCGTGCGTCGCCATCCCTCTTGGCTGCACAAAATTACACAGCACAACATGATGAAGGAATTTATTCGAGTGTTGAAGGTGAAAAGACCTCGCATGTTTTGGTATTGTGTATGAATTGTGAAGTGACGCGCTTTAATTTTTCCTTCAATAGAGCGATGACGACGTACACAATATTGTGAGTGGTGTCATCACCGTTGTGATGCTTCTTCCAGCAATTCCTTCGAAGATGGGCGTATTTCTGAATGACATTTTTGAAGTTTTTTCGTAAGCTCCATTCTACTGTATTTCTTTCCACTGCTTGATTCTGACATATTTTTTGCAGCCGAGTTTCATCTTTGGTAACTTTCTACAAGCCGGAAGCACCAGAGGGTTACCCTCTTTTCCTGCGATTTGCATTGTATAGACTTTTCCAAAGGCTTTACGGAATGTATCCCTGTCAGTTCCTTTCGTTCTTGAGACGCTTCTTTGGTTCCTCCGGCTCTCGGATGCAAATTTTCACGCAAACCATTCTGGTATGTTGCAAGGTGAACGCCTAGTGTTTTAAAAACTGATCAATATCGTTTCATTTGTCAGCCATTCATCGAGCGTGCGAAGTTGCACCCGCTCTTGTTCATTTCCGGGAAAGAATCTGAAACAGCCAAGGATCGTTGGATGAAAATGGAGAAGCATGATATCATTGTGGAATGCGAAAAGGTTTGGCTAGATTCACCCGATTCGTGGTCCTGTGCCGAAATAGATGCACCCTCTTCCTGCAACGTTGCTTTCATGCCATTCGCGAAACATCTGCTGCATCAACGCAAAGGTGATCACATCTCTGATTCCGTAATCTTTATTAGCTTTTGTAACTGAACTCGATTGATTTGTAGGTGAAGCCTCGTTGGGACCGGCCCAAACCTCTTTGGCATGGACACCTTCTCGATCCTTGATAAATTCCCCACCACCATCCGTATCGAACGATTTCTTTCAAATGGCCAGTAGCACAGCTCGAGGATCTCTGTCAGTGCCACCAACGCCCCTGCCTGAGGTTTGCCTGAAATTTTCAATTTTGAATCCGCTTGGGATTTTTGGCCAACTTCGGCTGGTTTGAATGGGCATACTAATTTCTTCTCGTCCGACTGACTGCGGAACAGGAAGCTTTCGCTAATTGTTATCTTGAAGAAGCGATTTTGAACGGATTATTGCAGAATCAATATTGTACTGAATATAAGGTAAACTTCCTGTAGAATTTATGGAAACGGCATGCCAACCGTCATAAAACGAGCCGGGTTTACTACAACTTATGAGATTATTGTGAAGTGTAGTAAGTGAGAAGGCATGTCGTTGAATGGAAAAACCGGAACTCTCTTAAAATCTGCAGCTCCATGCGTACTTGAGATGGGCTTTGAATGTCGTGTTCGATTTTTATGCTAGAAAAATCACCTGATCGTTCTTTGTTTCGCTTCGGATTTTCACACCATCCAACCTGATCGCTGAACGCTTTTATTGTTCTCTATGCCTTCTTACGTGGTTAGTTTACCCGATCCTTGCTTGTAGGGATGTTACGATATAGATGAGCTTATAATGAAAATCCCTCGCGAGTCGGACGGGTTTAGTGGGCTAAATGTTGCTTTATGCACCGTGGACATCCCATATTTTGAGCCTTGCTGAGGATATTTGCATGTTTTTTTTCTTTCTCGCCGTTGGTGATGCATTGTTTTTATGATTTTGGGATTGTGATTGATTTGGTGTGTTTTGCCTTTGGATGTGTTTGCGGTGTTATTCTAGGGTAATGGCCGTTGGTCGGTGCCAGTGAGTGCACCAGTAACCCCGCGTGCGATGGATTCTCCACCAGAGGCCGCGATTGAGGCCACCCCGGAAAACACCCCTGTGACCACCCCAAATCAGGTGAAAGGATAGTGAATGTGAATGCCTTCGAGTCCCAGCTTTTATAGCTCTCGATTATCGAGAATGAGTTCACGATAATTGATGGGAGGGAAATCGGAGCGTAACCTCGTAACATCTAAGAGTTTGCCGTGATTGTGCATAAGGCTTTTGACCTGCGTGTTGATGCTTCTGGTCCTAATGTGGGCGCCGTGTTGATGTTGTAAATTCGGTGTATCATTGGTGCACTGGATTGCTTTGCCCTTGAATGATGTTGCTTGAATGGGTCGCTCGGAATCGCTTGGTGTTTAAAGGAGCTTGAGCGCGCAGCGGAGAGGGATAGAGCGTCGAAGCCAAAGATAACCGCGATTGGACGTCTCGGATTCCAGAAGCCGCCGAGTATGCAAGCATTCAACCAGCCGAGGGTGTCTGCTTCTTCACCACCTGCAGACCTTCGCACACCCTTGTACAACGAACGGTTAGCCAAGGTGGCCGCCGAGCGACTGCCTCAAAAACCCGAGGATACCAGACGGATGACCAGTCCCGTCAAGTTTTACGAGTCCTCTGGTGGGGCTGTTGGTGGCAGTGGCGGCTTGCCACGTCCTGTTCCAGTGAAGAAACGACCACAGCAGGCTCCGACTATGGAAGAGTTGCAGTTGGCGAAGTCTTCGTCCGAATTGGCGTCACCAGCTTATTCCGCCAGTGACGAGGACGCTGAAGTGTCAAACATCATCAGTAACAGGAAGATCGGACAATTGTCTCGTAGTTCGTCTGGCGTTGGAAGAACGCGTAGAGTATCGTCGCGGGATGGAGCGAAACAAGAGGTATGCGTCTCGAGCGTTGTATACACCGAATGATTTCATTTCCGTCCTGGTTAGCCAAATACTCTTTTGCCGCTGAGTTTTCGCTTTGTTGATTAATTTTGAGGGACTCAGAAGGGTGCTTCAGCGTTTTCTGAAAGCACTGCCTCAACTACATAGTGCACCCGGGTTCAAATAAGCTTGGGCTTGTGGCGCTTGATCCTGCAACAGTGGCGTGAGAGTTACGTGAACGTTTTTGGTGTCCCGTGTTGATAGGTTGCGTACCAGCCGTTGGCGCATTCATCATCCACTACGTCCGTTTCTTCTCAAAATTCGAGAAGCGACAGTGTGATTCATGATCCGATGGAGGATGTTGCCTCAACAACTTTAATGGACGTAGAGGCGCGACGTGATGACGAGCTGTTGCGAAGGCGGCCCGAAGCTGGCCCAGTACCTGTCCAGATGTTTCCGATACCTCCTGGCATGCTGGATGGTCTGGTGCAGGAGGTGCATCGGTTCAGGTTCCATTCACAGTGTGAAACGGGAAGCTGCGGTTCTTCTCTGAGGGACTCGTCGCTTATGCGTGCCTTTGGTGCTAGATATGGTTGGTATGATAATCGGATCACATCCAAAGGCCTGAATAGATGTAGTGCTTCTATTTTTAGCCGAATGTTACTTTCCTGAACTTTCCAAATCACCGTGATGCCTACATTTTTCTATTCCTGTAGTTTGCTGGCTCATTCCCGCATTTCAGGTGCATCATTGGTAGGAGGTACAGTTGATGAGTCGAATTTCAAGGGACCGGCAAACCAATTCGATTTGGGGAAACAAGAATTTGTTCTGGGGGAAAGAGAGAAGACTTACAGAAATTTGTAATCTGTGATATTCTAGGCTTTTATTTGCTTCTTGAATGTGTTGACAAGAGGTTGAATTTGGAGGAAAGTGTTCATTTCTCCAATTTGGCGTTCATTTCCTTTGAAAACACATCGTTACATTTTCATCTCTATTTTTTGTGTCAATAAGCCAAAAAGCCTTCAGAAAATTCGAGTTTGGAGGTTTGAGGAGTAAAGCCGTCGTTCGGGGAAGGTCTTTTATGCATTGTTTTTGAGATAATTCGGACAGACTGGAAAAAAAAAATTGACGTAGGGATTCGATTCAGGGAGGTTAGCTTTATAGGAGTTCTACTGTATTTTAATCAAGGACTTAATTTATTGAAACTATTGAAAGAAAATGATTGTGCCATTACATTGCATTTAATTTTGTTTCTTCTCCGTTTTCACTTCGGAAGGTTCGAGAATTACACGCGAAGAAAAGGAGAGCAGTGAAGAAGACGGCAGAAGCAGTCGTGGATCCAATCGACGAAGGAGGAAATCTAATCCCGACACCAAGCGTGAGAAACGTTCCGTCAAAGTCGACTTGACATCATTTAGTGATGGCAATTACATCGTGACTGGGACTGTAAAACGTCGCAAAAAGAAGCGCAAGACCTCGTCGTCAACTCAAATGGCATTGCCGCTTTCATCCGAAGTTCTCGAAGGAAAAGAAGAAACAGCTGGGGAGGAAGGAGACGACGAAGAAGAGGAAGAAGGCAGGAAGTACGATTTAGCTACACGACACTCGTCAGGAACGCAAACCATCGACATGACCGCGTTCGACGCAGCCGTCTCTCAGATATTCTCTTTGGGCGTATGGCCGTGCTTGCGATGTGCATCTCGTTCTGAAGAAATGCGGGTCCGCTCACCTTTTGACAACATTGACGCCTATCTCACGACTTTTCTGGAATGCAATCGCAGCGATCGGACTTGTCTGGAGAAGGAACTTGCTGTTCTGCGTCTTCTTTTTGTTTACGAGCGTTATGCCCGTGATGCTTATGCGGAACGTAGCCGTCGTCTTCTCGGTCGCGCGAAGCAAGCACATCTCCTTCAAGAACAAAACGCAGCTCTGCAAGACCAGTTCGCAGTGTGTGAAAGTTTGAATCAGCAGCTCAAAGCAGAAAATGCCCTGTTACGAGAATCTTCCGTTCAAGGAGCGGATAGGCTGACTGTGGCCAAGTTTGAGAAGTTGATAGCAGAAGCAAATAAGACTTCCGAAAAGCTCACAGAGGAGAATCAAAAGACGAGGCAGGAACTGAGCGATGCCATTGAGGCCAGAGCAAGGGCTGATCGAGAACTGGGACAAGCCAAACGGGAGCTTTGGAGGAGCGAGCAGCAAGTTGAACAGCTCAAAGCAGTTGCCAGCAAGTGAGTTCTGCGTTCATTTCTTGTCATTCTTTACGTACGTTGGTCGAGCGATTGAAAGCTAATTTTCCGAATTAATGGGCTCTTTCTACATGTTCTTGAGTGTTTTCTGCGATTTCTCCAAAATCAAGCTGAAGCAAGAAGAATATCCGAAGTGCACGTTAATCTATAGTTCTTCTGTTCAGCATGTTTTTCAAGTGTTGCCCGAATTCCTCCATTATATAACTTGCAATCAGATATTCATTGACTCATGCAAACTGTATTAACCTGATGTCTTCTGAAGTTACTGCTTGATCTCCTTTGTAGATCATCGGAATTGCAAGCGAAAGCGGAAGAGCTTGAAAAAGAATTGTGCAAGCAATCGGAAAACACGGAAAATGTGAGAACTCAGGTGGAAGCCGTCCTGAAGCGTAGCGGTTCTGTAATACGACGTTCCGGTAGCATCGGTGGTCGATCATCAATGGCAGAGTTTATGAAAAACCGGAAGGTCCAGATAGAGTCTGACACTAACTCGCTGGAAGCGTCGAGAGCTCGGATCGCCGATTTAGAAATGCGGTTGCATGAAAAGGCCGTCGTTATTGAGGATCTAAAGGCTGTTGTGAAGTCAAGGGAGGAGGAATACAACGAAAAAACGATGGTAAGTCTCAATCGCCGCTTTTTTGACTTCAACTCGTCAAGTTCATTTTGTCGGTTTGTTTTGTAGGCCCTCGAGGAAAAGTACAAAAATTCCAAGGCAGTTATATGCACCCACGAAACCCAGCTGCTGTCCTATGCGGCGCGGGTTGAAAATCTACAGAGGAAACTTCAAACTAGCCTGAGACGCAAAACGGCGAGTGCAGACAGTTTGGATGGTGGGCGTATCATGGGCAGTGAAGATGGACACTGTCACGACGTCGGAATCCCTATCGTGGGGGCTGCGTGCTCTCGAACTCCGCAACATTCTTCTTCCTGGGGTGGCTCGCGATCAGTGGGAACAGTTCCACTGATGCACCACCAGCTCAGGCCTTCTCTGAGTCCTGGTCCTGGTGGGTTGTACGATTTGGAGCAGTCACTCTTCGCATCGTCTCCTCCCACTGTGTCGACGTGCTCCTCTGCTGCGTTTTAGCTCACGTGAGTTGTTTTCGACATTTGAGTAACTTTGAGGAATTCCTTGACACATAGGAACCACATAAGCCGTTCGTATTTTGTGTATTCAAGAAGTGCTAGTACCTTTAATTTGCAAGAAACTCGATTCAATGAACGCGATCAATTATTCCCTATATTAACTGTAAATTTTCCGATGTATTGACCCGTAGCTAAAAGAACGATGTCAAAAGAAGTAGGTGCCATCGAACACTTCGGGAGTGTGGAAACCGGAATATTTTCTGTTTCATTGTGGGTTTCCTGACGTGTATTCAACTGATCCAAGCATGGCATTGATCCTCCAGCAGTTCTTGGATTGTTTCATCATCAGGCGTCATTTCTGTTGAAGGTCTTGCCGTATCAACCACACTCAGCATAATATGAAGAAAAATTAAGAAACCTGATTGAAGAGGGTAGATGCTTAGTTGCTTAAGACGTTCAAGATTTTAACCCTTTACGTTTTCCCTTTTAAAAACATTGGGTTGGCGTGAAACTCACGGAAAGGCAAAAGTATTCAGATGAGTTTTTCTGAAATCTCTTGGCATTTTTGTCAGTTTGACATTCCACGTTGTGTCAACGGGGGAGAAGAAATAAAAGTGTGGGTTCCTTTGAACAATGAGGAAATGACAAAATTTTCAGAGTTCCCTTCTCCAATGTTTAATGTTAGAACCAACTTGCTAACTCAATACTGTGATGTCATGTGGCGTGGTATGTGTTTCTTGATCGACGATTGTGCTCGAAATTAAATTGATGTAAAACCATCATCTTTTTATTTGCAGAACCATCGTTACTGGCGAATTAAGTCAATTTCAAGAAACGTTGCAGAATAAATATGCACTGTGGATGTGATGAGCAGAGTGCACTTGGATGATCTTGGAGTTACGTCGCGAGCGAAGAAGTTGAGTTGAAGGCGCGCTTTCCTTTGAATGTGATATTCTGTTGTGCTGGATTTTCTGCTCTTTCTCTCGGTTTATTTTTCCGAATTCTCGAATGAGGTCAGCGGGAAACTTGGAATCCCGAGGCAAGAAAGATGACAGGGAACCAACGCTTCTATTTGAAGTGAATCTAAATGAGGGTTTGTTGTGCTCTGTGCGGAGGTGTCCGTTGGGAAGTGCGGGTTTTACTTTTTTTTTTTCTTTGTACAAAAAGGAAGTCTTTCTTTAGTTTATGATTTGCCCTCTGGTCAAATGAAATGGTAACAGCTTTTCATCATTCTTGGATATGGGTGCGATGCCCAAGTCAAGCTTTCTTTTGTTCTGTGGCAATAAGGATCTTTCTGCTCTTCGATTTTTGTCGATTTGATATGAAGTGGGGATTGCACACTTCATCCTCTTTCTGCCGCTCAGCTGTGATGCTTGCATCAGAGCGTCCTGTAGTCGATGGATTTTTTTTTAGGTGTAAGCTATTCAATTTAATTTTGTTGGTTTTATCTGATGCTGTCAATTGTCTCTCGGAAGAATTATTCCGATCTTCTTTAAATGATCCAAGTTTCTTTGATTGATGTCTTTATTAGGACCGTTGCGTTTATTTTGTATCTTATGGTGCAACGACTCCCTGGTGAGATTACCATTTGTGACGATTTCGACAATTCTCTGATCCCGAGTGAAGAACACGATAGCCAAGGGAAATGGATGACGAGTGGTGAATTCCCGTTTCACGCGGTGAATTTTGAGTCTGCGGAACCCCTGGCAAAATATTTTACCTTATTCTGAAGAAGTGTGGAGAACGTGTTTCTGAGATGCTGAAAAGGGTGAGGAAAGAAATGTGATGCTTCTTCTTCCGTCGGAGTGCGTGGAGAATTGCACGGGATTTTACACCTTCGACGTAAAGAGCTTCAATCTTGATTATCTTCCAGTTTGGAACATGATTGAGTTTTTTTTTTCCTAAGAGCTGGCGGAAGATTATGATTTCAATCTTCGTTGGGATTTTGGTGATCCAGTCTTTTTTTTCGAGGTGCCTCGGTCAACGACAGTTTTTTATTTGGGTAGAAGAGTCGAAAAAATACAAGCGCCTGAAGCTTTGGGAAAACTGCTCTTCATTTCAATTAATTTTCGTGCTGGCTACTGTGCATCAGAATTTCTCCCCCAAGAAATGCACTTCGGATTCCGGGGTGAGTCAGCCGGAGTTCGTTGATTGACTTGTTGACCTCAGAATTTCGGTGGGTGAGTCAACGATTATTTTGATTTGATGAATTCATGAAGTGTAAATTTTTGTTGGTTTCTTTGAGTTGCAAATGAAGATGCTTTTTGCCCGTCATTCTCCATGGATGCGTGCGTCTGTTGGCATCGATGTCGACCGAAGCCATTGTGAAGAGTCTGTTCAGAGAAGACTTGGAGGACGTTGTTGCCTTCTATTGTACCCATTGAGATGTCATTTGTGGATAAAAGATGGATCGAGATGGTGCTTCAGGAGGGCCTGAAGCTTTCCGAGCCTCCGAAAGTGTGTTCCTACGAAGTGGATCGGGCCTTGAGCAGAGGCGAGAACTTCGGAAGTTTAGCCTTGCGAACCCCGGTGGTTTACGTCATCAACAACGAGGAAGTCAGGACTGACCTGTTCATCAAAGTGAAACCCCACGGTGAGTCGTACGAGATCCTGCGTTGATTTTTTGAAGCTTCATACTTCTGTGCGGAAATACAGGTGAAGCACACCGTGAGTTGACGGAAAGTTTGAACGTGTTTGTGAGAGAGGCGCAAGTGTACAATGAATTACTTCCTGATATGATCGCGAATTCGAATGCTGTGGGTGCACCTGAAGACTGCTACCCGGACTTTCCGCCGTGTTATTATGCGCGTGGCTCCGGGAAAGAGGCAGCCATCGTTATGGTTGACTTGTCGCGATACGAGTATCGTCTTGCAAATAAGTGAGCAAACCCCCACCTCGCACACTGAGTTCTCTCACGCTGATCTGTGGCGATCCTCTGTTGCAGGTACGAAGGAGTGGCAGAAAGCGAAGCCCGGTTAGTTTTGAGAGCTCTGGCTAAATTCCACGCGAATGGTGTGGAAATATTGCGGAAGCAAAAAGATCGGGAAGGATTTTCGTGCCTGAAATCCAACCCTTACGACAACGACCTGCTTCGCGAAGGGTTTCGAGAGAGCAGAAACCTGCATCGCATGGTGAACGCTTTTCAGGAGCTTTCCGATCAAGAAGAAAACGCGGCGCGACTCAAGGCATATGTTGACGAGAAGTGTGTCGATGGTTTCAGTCGGTTCCTCGAGCTTTCCCGGTTCCAGGGGAATCCTGACCTAGCATGCTACAAACTGAACGATTGCTGGCTCAACAACATGATGTTTCGGTGCGAACCCCTTCTCATCTTTAGTGTGAAACCTTCTCAGGATCTTGCTTGTTCAAGTCGCCCAGTTCTGCGTTAGGTTTATGGTGAATGACAATGATTGTTCGGCTGTTTTATAATTATTGTGGGGTCTTGGTGAACAAACTTAATCCATTCCCTAGCAAAGGCGGTTAACCAAATAATTCTTGTCAACCAAATTCCTTTTTCCTTGTTTAAAAAATACTGTAATTTTTTCTATTGGTTCCAGAACCTCAAAAGTGAATCCATAGGAAATTCTACTACGCCTTAATTCCGAGATCTTTTATTGAGAAAAGTAGAAGAGAAGCTCGAAGAAGTGTAGATCAGTAGATGAAGACAGGAGCCTAAGGAGGATGCCAGAGTGGGCAGGTGGAGCCGAACACTTTCTAAAAAAAAAAGATAATTCCGTAAATTTCTTGTGACCTCTGAATCAATCATTCCACCGAATTCATTCACTCCGCATTTCTGCACACTCCTTTCAGCACTTCACCCAATTTTCTTTAGTTGGAAGCAGATTGAGAGAACTATCAAGGAATAAATTTGCAAAAATAAAATACAGATATTAAAAGAAAGGTCAAAATCATTCAAGCATCATTTTATGTTTGTTATTCCAATATAAATCCTGTAGAATTCTGCGTCGAAATATATGGTGGCAATGCCACACACGAGAGGGTTGGCATTTTGGGAGGCCCGCCTTTGAATTCACCAAAGTTTGTAAACCAAGTTATGGTTGGTTATCCAAGGCACCCGAGGCCAAAATGAAAAGTTTGTTAACCAGGCTGTTCATTAACAAAGACCATACTGTATTTGGGTGAAAGTTTTTTCCCCCGATGATTTATGCTTTGACTTTCTCGAGGCGTTTCTTGGTCTGGGACTCTGGTCCTATTGAAGTGGGGGCTGTAACGAAGTATTTCCTCCCTCTGTTTCGTATACAGTATTGTGTTTTCAAAAATATTTCTAGAGACGACCTGAATGATGACGGAGGTTATGAAGTAGCTGCTGTGAAACTGCTCGATTTGCAGTTCACGCAGGTCGGATCCCCATACCCTGATCTCCAGTTTTTCTTCGGAACGAGCGTCAATAAAGCCGTGTTTTCAAAGCGCGAGCAGCTTTTGGAAGAGGAGTACTACCCGGAGTTATTCCGCGTGCTGAAACATCTCAGGTCCTCCGTATCAGCCGAGAATTACCCATTTGAAGAGTTCCTGGCCGACTTCAAGAAGAATTCCGAGTTTTGTCTCATCACGGCGATTTTTTTATTGCCGGTTTTGTTGTCGGAGCGAGAGAGCTGTTTCGAAGCCGATGACCTGTCTGTGGAAAGTCTAGAACACATGGCTCATCGAACGCTGATGACTGTTGGAACGACTGCGCGTGTTCTGGAGCGTTTTGCTCACATCGTGCAGAGCATGGTTAATGAAAATGTCATCTAAACACAGGTTGTGGAAGCATCAAGCGCGCATGAGGTCCAGAGATTTGAGGATCGTTCGGTTTCCGTGCGAATCGAAAAACAGGAAACTTGAGGTGCTGTAATGTAACATGCTTCAAAATCCTGAAATTCAGTACTCTTCTCAGTTCAAGCAGAGGAATCATTCTGGTCAACTCTCGTACTGCTTCAAGAATTTTTGCCCGATTTCGTTCACAGATTTAATCCGGTGAATGAAATTAAACTTTAAAAGCTTTTATTTCAAATTATTTTTTTTTCTGCTGGGCTTACTGTTCAATGCTGTAAAATACTATCAAAATCGACGTACTTGTTCTGCAGTGGCGAAAGTTCTTCAAAATTGCAATGAAAGAAAATTATCGAACTGAATTGGAAGTTTCTATGCTTACCGTGCGGTATATTGTTTACCGTGGTTATAGTCTGATTGCTTCTCTCTGTGGTGTGCTGCGAAACGTGAATGGTACTTCGTTTTTGTACGAAGAGCTTCAGGGTTTGTCCATTCCCTTGAAAACCTGAACATGAATAAAAGAAATGCGAGAACGCTTCTTCCGAATTTCATCTATAGGGCTGGTATTTTGGCCACAAAAAATGAACCTAGGAGATCGGCAGAGCCATCCAGCAGTGGAATGGGAGAAGATCTGGAAGCAGTGAAGTGCGCATGTTCTTATCAGTCCAGATCTTGAGAATACCTTGATGGATGATAGCATGAGGGCTGAATGCCTAGCTGGTAGTCGAATGTTGGTTTGCTTCGAGGAGAGGTTGAGATGCACCGCTATCACGAGGAAACTTGAGATAAAGGAAGTAACCTGATAGTACCCTACTGAGGAAAATGCCGCCTGTCACTCCTCTTGAATTTTTTTGTGCGTTGAAGCTTCGCTCGGCTATCGCAGTTCGATACGGATCACGAGACGCGTTTAGCGAAACGAGAATTACGTGATTTTCATGGTGTATTAGCTAGTAACTTCGCGGGGATTTAATTATAGCGGAATAGAATTCATAATCTCGATTTACCTAATTGCGGCGTTCAAAGTTTGGGAACATTTTCGGGGGGACGTAGTATTGAAACTGAGTCATTCATTGTGAAGTAAGCATAGATTTGGATTATTGAACAATTCAGTTGACGTGAGCGTGAAAAATGGGAGAACTGGTGACGAAAGAGTGGCTGAAGCAGATGCTGGAAGGCAGTGGAAGATTCGGTGACCACAATGTGGAAATTTGTTTGTTGGAATCGAAACGCGCTCTGGCGAAGGGTGAAAATTATATGACCATTCCGATTAGATGCCACGTGGTTGTCGTTGTCGACAGAGAAGAACACAGTCTTGATCTGTTCATCAAGATATTGCCTGCTGGTATGTGGCGTGGCAGTGAAAATATTAGTTTCAGTCGGCGGCCCTATAATTTTTTTACAAAATTTCTGAAGTCGTAGCTCGTAGGATATAGTAATTTTATGATTCTAGTTACAACTACGTAGTCGTGGGCCATTCAATTTGAACTGATTTTTGAATTAAGATATATTTAGAGACATCCTAATTCAAAAATTAGGATATCTCTACTATTAGGATTATTCAACTGATTTTTGAATTAGGATATCTCTAGAGATATTAGTTCACTTCTTTGCCCACCCTGTACATATATGAGATCGACGTAATATGATCATATCGCGAAGGTGGTGTAACATATACTTTTAACAATGGGTAATGATCTGATGAAATGCTTGTGAACTATGCAGTGCGGGATTGACAACTTTGATGTACTGTACTACACATACCTGTATATTATATAACTAACAATAAGTTCGTAGTTCTATCAGTTACGCGGTATACTGCGTCGGAATATTTTATACCAACTTTGAAGCAACAGTGGCGCCATGCCTAATTTGCTGTGTCATTACCACGTTTTTATGAACTCACTTTCTTGTCTGTCTGTTTGTCCGGATCAAATTTTGAAACTCAAATTTCACTCAAATAGCTTAGAAACTGATGACAATGCAATCTTTTGTGCTTTTTGGCACACTATGAGCAGTTTAATTAGAGTAATTAGAGTTAATGACCACAACACAGCAAAGGCGACACCTGGAGAAGGAGCGCCAAGTGCAAATTGGCGCGCCTTCTCCAGGTGGCGCCTTTCGTCTCCTTTGTTCGGGGCTTGGTGGCATGTTACTTGCTGAACTTTACGCATATGTTGCTTCACACTCGAGAAAAAAAGATAACTGTGTTATGAAAGGTGCATTAAACTCAGATGCGGTTAGTTGTCAGTCAAAAACCACGAGCTTCTATGTTCCAGCCCAAGGATTCTGGCCGCGTTGTGAGGGCCTTGCCTTGGGGCACTTGGTTGTCGGGGAACCCGGGATTTAATTGCTGGACGGGGTGGGAGAGAACGCAATTAGTCGCCGTGAGATCAGTTTAGTTCTCCGTTTGCCTAATTTCAGCTCCGGGCGACGATCGCTTTTAGATGGAAAACCGACCAGAATAACCTGCTCCTACTGGGAACGAACTTCTTTTTTTCATGACTACGGTTAGCTTATGGTTCTCGACCGGTAGGAAATTGCTCTTTCACAACCCAGGTTTTGACATGGATTTCGACTACCCGGTGGACCAGAAAAATAAATTGAATATACAGTAATTTCAAGCTGCAGCATCATTATGCGTAAGTTTTCGCTGCACTCAATGACGTTAATTCTTCTATCTACACCAACAAAAATTAGGACAAATGTATTTTCATAAAAGTCACATAGAAATTCACCATGACGTCAGAATATTTTCGCCACTTGAATCATTGTTATTTATTAACTCGCTTTCTTGTCCATTTGTTTGTCCGGATCAAATTTTGCAACTCAAATTTCACTCACTTCCCAACTAGCTATCAAGCTGAAACCTTCAGGATAGCCTAGAAACTGATGACAATGCAATCTTTTGTGAAAAAATTAATTTTAAGAATATTCTTTTAAAAGAATAAAATAATTATAGTAGATTAAAAAATTAATCTAAAAAACCACGTTTTCAAAAAGCAAAAAATAACCTTAAACGTGGTGCGCATGGAGATTGTTGGGAAGAAGTGAAATACAAATGAAATAGATGCACACCACGTTTAAGGTTATTTTTTGCTTTTTGAAAACGTGGTTTTTTAGATTAATTTTTTAATCTACTATAATTATTTTATTCCTGTGATCGTAGCATTTGGGGAACATTTCATGACTTACCAATGCATGGGTTCAAACTAAATTCAAGAGGAGGCAGTTCTTATAACGTACTCCTTGTATATGTTCCAGTGAGTTGAAGCTTCATGTATGCTGTCGCTATAGTCGCTACCTCCGGTATATTATCAAACTTCCACTCGGCAATGATGTACTGTAAATTTTTGACTGCTGCTTGAGGCATTGGAGTACTGCTGTATACCGTACGTATACCGTGATTTTCCAGAGGGTATAACGCGCACTGCGGCAGGTTTATTGAGCACAGTTGTATGAAGCACTTTATTATCAGATCTTCAAAATCTTCACATGCAGCTTGATAATTTAGTGCGATTTATTTATACAAAAGCTGATGGCATGTATACGAGGGGTTATCACACGATTCCGCGCGGGCTCGTTTAGGCGCGAACTTGAAATGATCTCAGCACCAGGGATTTTGATTTTAAATAAACACTTTTCTTATGTTCGCTATACAGTAGTTTCAGAGGCTAGGCAGAAACCTTCTGAACGTAATCACCAACAATTTGTACACCCTTCTTGGCCCTTTTGATCACTGTGTTGAAACAGCAGGCCTTGAAATGATGTTCATGATCCGCGGAACCGTAGTGTAACCCCTCGTGTGAAGTGGCTCTGATGAATAGAATCAAATATATTTTAAGTTGCAGTATTCAAAAAATACTTGACCACAGCAAAAATAACCTCCGCCTTCTGCGGCAAAACTGCAAATTTTATTGATTTGTCCTAAAGGATCGTTAATCTGAAAATTTTGGCAGGACCTGAACACAGAGCCCTTGCCGAGAGTTTCAAAGTGTTCCAAACAGAAGCTCTGGTGTACAACGAGCTCATTCCCGAAATCACAAAAAACGTGGAATCGCTGGGCTTGTCAAAGGAATGCTTGCCAAATTTTCCGAGGTCTGTTTTCTGCAAAGGGACGGGAGATGATGCAGTCATTTGCATGGAAGACCTCGGCAGACTTGGATACCGTTTGTCAAATCGGTAGTCTTTTATGCTCATTTTTGAAAAAAAAAAAGTATAGTATGATGCATTTCATGTGATTTTCCATTCCCTTTATATATATATACGGCAGCATAATCTGATTCCATCAAGCTTTTATATAGCAGTACTGTATTCTATAATAACACCGCCATCTCATGAGCTTGCGTATGTGAACGTTAATTGTGTTTAAAGCAGGCAAATATATAACTTGTAATTCTCATACTTTTATTTGATGTGCTTTCCTTTACGTACCTTATGGAAGCTATCGATTGTGTGAGAGCATAAATTGCATAATCTTCGACTTCCCCGATGGCGAGGTTAACGACTGCTGCTGCCCTACTTTTTTTTTTACCTGTTCCGTACATTGCGTCGACTAACATTTTCTTGAAGCTTTGGGACAACTGAGGTCCATTTTTTCTACTTAGCAAACAATTATTTTTAAGACAGCATTACGTCAGTTCCGACTTTTCAGTGAGAGAGACCTGAATATTCGGTCATTGCTATTTGCTGAGGTAAGCTAGCGACATCTACTTCGTACTATGAAAAGTAAAATTGAACGTTTGAGTAATAAAGCCCAAGTGCCGCGCGTTTACCAGGTACGAAAATACGGGCACCGGACAGTTCCGGACCGCCCTGATCCCGACGCCGCGCATCGCCTGTCTTTCCTTGGATGTACATTCCCGGTACATATGCTGAAAAAGGTTTACAGTAAAATTATGCAAAAAATTGCAAGCAATATGTTATTTTCCTCTGTTTATTCACTGTGATTAAATTGTAAAAAAAAAATCACTAGACTTTAGGGGTGGTTAGGTTAAGTTAGGTTATTTGAAATGTCTTTCCACTAATATAACCTGACCTAGCTACCCCCAAAGTCTAATAACTTTCTTAAAGCAGTAAAATATACCGAGGTTTAAAACTGACCTAACCTAATCGAATCTAACCTGATCTGTGTGCCACAATCCTGCACAATCGAAATCACAATTCTTGCGATTTCGATTGTGCAGTGAAAAACCCCTGAAAAAACTTGTGATTTTGATTGTGTGTTCAATTTTTTGCCACTTGCGATTTTGCTTGCGATTGCTCAAAAATCAACACAATCAAAATCGCAAGCCTTCCTTCAATTTTTAGGTTTTTTTTAGCAATCCTCCAGTAAAAAGTGTAACAATTAATTTTTGTTCTGGATATTATTTTAAAGAGGTTGTTGAAAATAATATAGAAAAAGTAGAATGACACATGAACAACAATCAGTTACATGGCCCAATACAGCAACTAAAAGAATAATAAGGTTAATAAAAACAGCATGGCCACCTGGGAGGATAGCTTCCAGGGCCAAGGCTGTTGTATGAAACACAGTCCTGAAACCTAGAGCAGGTCCCAGCCCCAGAAAGATGTTGAGTAGAATGATCTCTAGCAAGAGAATCCATCCCTTTTATACTGGGGTTTCATGATCCAAGGACTCAAGGCTGGGAGAGAATAGGGGTGAAAGAAGGGGTCTCCTTTTACCCCTTCTTTCCCTTGAGTCCTTGGATCATGGTCCTTGGATTCTAGTCCTAATAGGGGATTAGATCAAATTAAACCTCTCTGTTTATCTTTGCTGTGTCTGACATTCTCATGGGAAAGGTAGCAACCCCAGTACTGTTTAAAAGGGATGCATTTTATTGCTACAGATCATTCTACTCAACATATCTTTGGGTGTGGGACCTGCTCTGGTCAATATGTCAATCATTCCTGCCCCAACACCTGAGCATAGGCATAGGATTCTCAGTAATAATCTGAAAAATTTTCAAGATGTATGCCCTAATTTCTCTTATTTTGGCCTATTTTTGGACAGGCATTTTTAGTGACAGTAAGGGTTTCATTGAAAGACAAAATGGAGGGAGATTTGTTCCAGGGAAATTTGTGGCACTATGTCAGAGAGTGTTGGCACTGAATTGAGGGTTTACTGAACTTGAATGAATTTATATGCTTGTTGCATGATGATATTGGTGTATATTCAAGTACAGATCACTTTCTCTCAGGTGTCTTTGCTAAAAAAAATTCACTGGACAAAAACATTTGGGGGCATATTGGAATTTGACAATAATTTTTTTCATTTTTCTCCACTACTCCATCTTTTTTTTTTAAAGAATTTTTCAAAG